GAATGAGAAAATTATCGGTCGCAGGTTTGTGTACAATTTTTTTTCAATTAATTTTTTTTTTGCTAAAGCTCAAGTGTCGATCGATTGTGATCCTTAAGTTTATTATCTTAGCACTAAGGTAAAAATAATGAGTAGAATGTTCATTCAGATGGATTATAAATGAATTTGTTTCATGCATTTACATACAGTTAACATTCTTTAAGTGAATATTTGTGTATGGAATGATTCAAAAGATTAATTGCACTGGACCAAATGTTACTAGATTAATATTACTTAAAATCCTGAAAAGCAATTTCACTATAAAATTCTTACTTTTTCAGCTTAAAGAAATTGATGCAGAGCTTGAAACATGTGCAGATCTTCAGAGAAGAAATACTCTGATGGATTCACATTCTGACTTAGTAGAACTTATTGCACTTTTGACTGGTAATAAGATTTCAGCTTTGATATAAAATGAATTTCACATTTTTTTTTTATCTAAAGACTTACCATTAATCAGTGCAATAAGTTTTTAGCATTTAATGCATACATAAATCTTGCTAAAATTCTGGATATTAATGAAGAAATTGTACTGTTTATTCCATTATAGTTAATTAAGTAGTAATGATATAGTTAAGTAATAATGATTTTATTGATTAAAAAAGCTTTGACTAAAGTTTGAATTATTTAATTTTTCGAAACTAAGTGTGATTTTTAATACATTATGTATATTTTTGAAATTTTAGAAAATTTATTCTATATCGTTTTGTAAGCATTGTTAATTTTATTGCAGAAAATGAAACAACTTCGGTGACGGGACAAGATTTTAATGAAACTCATACGAGCAGTGACGTGCAAGATTCTAGTTAATTAATTGAAATGCACTGTCTTGCACTGTACAATCGAACTATTGATCGTGCGGTGCATTTCCACGACGCTGTCATTTTAGATTTTGTTGAAGATTCAAGTGAAGAAGATGACCTCAAGGTATGTTAGGCTAACTAATTTTTGTAACTTTTTTTTTACAATGAAACCTGATGTAGAACGTTGAAAATTGGTTACATGAATAAATTTTTTTATTGATAAAGTGAAACTCCAAAATCTTTAGACAGTATTTTAGATGATTATAGGTCAAAGTATTATATGGTCATCCTCCAGAAGCAGCAATGAGACCTTGCGAATATTTTCTTAATGATCGTTGTAATGTCACTTTCGCATGGTGAAGTTTCGTTTTCAGCCCTTTGAGATGCATCTTGCCGTGTATTATTAGCATTGATGAATTGCTTTACAAAATAAAGATTTAATTATTACCTCTTTCGATCAAAAAAAAAAAAAAAAAAAAAGTACTTTTTTATTTAGAATGGTAAGAGAAAACTCACTTGTACTTGTATTGGGTGAAAATAAATTATGGAGCAGTGCTCGAGTTACTGTAATGGATGGTGAGAAATTGGCAGTTCTTACCGGTTATTGCTTACCGGGAAAGGAATTGCTGTGAATCCTAATAAGATTTATCCAATCCCGGAACTAGCTAATGACGACGAAGGTTTTTGTTAAGCTCAAATTTTTTCTTTTGAAATTATATTTTTTAAAATTCTAAAACAATTGAAGTTTCTTTCTGTTCAAATGAAATATTAGAACGAAACAGAAATTTGGTGTGTCTTCTTTAGCTACCCAGTTAAGCAATTATTTTGTGAAGTAGGCTTAAAAGGCTAGTCTTGTAATCATTTCGAATGATATTGTATTGTTTCTTTAGTTAATTCAACATTTAGTCAATTTGATTATTGTTTTCCAGACAAAATCAATCTCTGTAATCAATAAGCTTTCTTTAATGGGATATAAATTTGAACTGGAACTACATATGCTTTAGATGAAGCTGCTACGAATGATTTAGCAACAACTTCATGAAAAGAATATAAGCAGGAAAGGCGTGGAAATGTCACTATCGGCGAATCGGTGATTGAGAGAAGCATACACGTGGTATCGGTATCGGGATGAAGCTATTGCTGAAAATGGGTTATCGGGCTGGCGAAAGACTTGGTAGAAAATCTGATGGTATCGTACATGTCATACAAACAGTGATCTTCCCCAAAAATATGTCAAATTTCACTTTTCTCTTTTTTTTTTTTTGGAAAAGCTCAATTAGTGTTATACGAGAATCAAAAAGGTTAATTAGTACCGTTGCTTGGTTGTTTAGTAAAAATCTCGATTTCATCTTATACATTAGTATTGTAAAAATATAAGCTAACAGATATTTCACTTATTTTATTTTCAGATAATTATTTCGCTATTCTGCTATTCAAATTTTTTATTTCTTTTGAAATTCTCCTTTGACTAAATTTTTTTCTGTGGTCTTTAGGTTTCATTTTTTTTTTTTTTTTTTTTAAAGATAAATCATTGATATATGTATGGAAGAGAAGAACAAAAGAGTGATGGATGGAATGAATTCTCGTCAACAGATTAAACAGACAATCGTAAAAAAGCTGAAAGCTGTTGAATTACCAGTCGATGTTTTCCAGTTGTTGAATGATAAATTAAATAAAATTTCATCTATGGAAAACACAAAGAGATGAAGTGAAAAAGTTGCAGATGAGCAAATTGTTGTATCAAATAATCATAAAACGAGTTTATAGTTTGATTTTTTCAAGTTTTTGCTGAAACTTTTGTGTGTTTTTATTTGAAAGACATTTTTTTGGGAAAAATTGTTTTAATATTAAAAAATATGATGCTGTTATTGACTGAATCAGTTAGTAAGAAAACTTACAGATTCAAGGGTGGGCAGTTAGATTCAAAAATTAAATATTTTCTGTTGACGCTACCAATCCGAACTTTTTGTTGTGTTCCTAAGTTTGCATTTTCTCTACTTCAACTTTTTAGACACACTAATCGTGATGAAAACAAATAATATATTAGCATCCATAGAGCTGGAAAACTATTTTTCAGAATTGTTCCTCGACAAGTCTCGGCATTCAATCGTTAGATTTGGACAAAAAGTTGAAAGGGCTAAAAGATAAGGAACGCAAACTACGCGAAGGTGTTACACGTAATCAACGTGACGCTGCTACAGCGGGCAGGTTGAAGAAAAATTTGTTAAAATGTCGCGACGAGATACAACACCTGTTGAATCGACAGCAACGACTCAGTGAATTAATGGATAATCGAAGGAAGAAAAAAGACATATTTTAAGAATTAAGAATAAATTCATTTTTTTTGTATTTACTAAGTAATTTTAAAGTTGCTTCTAACTGTAATGTTTAGTAATATAAAATGTGATAATACCCCTTTCTTTTATGATTTTTACATATTTAATCATAATGAAGTAAACTATGAAGAAATTATTTATTCGCAATTACTAAGTAATTTCAAAGGTATTTCTAACTTTAATTTATATATGTAAACTGTAATTTTATTATAAATGTTTATGTCGCATCAACTAATACACAGTGTCCTTGCCTATATTTGTCATAGTTTGAAAAATTGATCTTTCCATTTTTCTTCCCAAATACACTCATCGTCGAGAAGCAGTCATATTATCCTGAATTGTGTTCCTGTGGGAATGATAATTATTATGCATTCCTGATTAATAAAATAACGATACATTAAAAAAAGGCACTAAGGATGTCATACTTCGAAAATCTTTCATATCTCAGCTATTAAATCATAGAAGACATAAGTAAACGATCAACAAAAAAAGAAGAAAAATAAAAATAAGAAAACTCTTCAAAAAATGATCAATAAAGATCATATTTATTTGGAAAATTGTCTAATAATGTAAACTTTTGCTGCATAAAAAGAAAAACAAGAAAAATAATTTAATAAAATATCACATCTCTATGTTTTACATTTTTAATTTTAATGAGGAAGTTTTGACAATTTTGATAATAGTCATTCATTTTTCAAATTTAGTAATTTGAGCTCCCCAAGTTTGTTATAAAATGGAATTTCTAAAGAGCAGAATAGGAATCGCATTAAAATATTCAATTTCATTATATCTACTTTTTTTTGCACTTTATTAAATTAATATTCATTATTTTTATCTGAAATTGTTAGAGATAATATTAATTACATCTGTAAAGTTATTAAGCTTCTTGTAATTATGTCAAATATTCGTAATGGTAAGTTATATTTTTTGCCACTTTTTTTTTTTTTTGCATTTAATCCATCATTTCTATCAATTCTTTAAAATCTATTAAAGAAATTTCAAAAAATGAAAAATAAAAAAAAAAAAGAATTGTCTTAAAAAGAAAGTAATTCAACTTGTTCAAAACTAAAAGATAATTTAGAAAGAGTCTTTCCAGTTTTAAGAATGCTAAATTATCTTTAAAAGATTGTAGCTGTCAATTTTAGTTTCATTTATCATCTCTAAGAGTTTAAATGTTAGTATTAAGTTAAAAAGTATCAAATATTTTCTGTAATAAGTAAAATGAACTTATGCTTTTTTTTTCATTGATTTAATTCAAATGACTTTTTTTTTTCCTCTTTTTTCCATGTTAAATTAGATACTATTACTTCTTTTTTTTTCTTTGTTTTTTGTTTTGTTTTGCTCTCATTCATCTCTTTTTCTTCTTCATTAAAAAAATATATGCTAAAATTAGAATTAGTAATTAAGTACTGTCACAATTCAATTAACACTTATGATAGAAAGAATTGCATTTCAAATAAATAATTTAGTTTTTAAAAATTTCAAAAACAAAAAAAAAAATTTTTTTCTTTTCTTCATTTCTTTTTTATTTATTATCAACCATATCAATATGATTTATTTCAAATATTATCATTTCATATATGATATAATTATTTCTTCATCTTCCACTTCTTTTTCTTCTTGTTTCGCTTATGAATTAAATTAAATTTGTTTTATTTAATTAATTAATTAATAGGAATCATTTGCAGTTATCATGAATGTTTTAATATGAATATTCCATCGATATCATCAATTCATTCATTTCGTTTATAGACTTTATGCAGCTGCTGGTTCTGCTGCATTTTTGGTTTTATATTTGGTTTTGAAAGTGGAATTATAACTAATGCTTCATTCTACATGTAAACATGATGAAGCTATGCAACCAATTAATCAAACATTTCTTTATATTTTAATGATTATTGCACCTGGTAATGAAATAAACACCTCTATCAAAATATTTACAAATATTAGAAATAAATTTTTCTTGAATTGTTATTCTATTATATATAGTTTATTATTATATTATATATTGATTATAAACACAATTTTTCATCATCAAAAAAAAAAATGTTATTAGTCAATATTGATAATAGTATAAATTAATTAATATTATAACATTATTTATTTCATGAAATCAATTATTTAAAAATCTTGAAATGTAAATAAATTCAAAAGTAAGAGAAATTTGGAATAAGAATGGTTTTGGTAGTAGAATTATTAACTTATCTTATTTAATATGATTATAAATGACAAATCTTTTTTTTTTTTTTTTTTTTGAAAACTTTCAAATTGTTGAAGTATTAAGACGAAGTTTGAAAATTTTTATTATCATTACTATTAAGCATTAACTATTATTATTATTATTATTAGTTATTATTATTATTATTATTATTATTATTATTATTATTATTATTATTATTATTATTATATATATTATTATTATTATTATTATTATTATTACATATTATTATTATTTTAAACCATATTAAAGCATTTATGAAATAAAATTTAGGTTCAGCAGCAATAGCTTCTTTATTAGCTGCACCAATAAGCGATCATTTTGGTCGCAAAAAGGCTATCATAAGCGCAATTGTATGTGATACAATTGGCGCATTATTATGTTCATTGTCGCTAAATAAACAAATGCTTATTGTTGGCGAATTATAATTGGTTTTGCATTAGGTAAATATTTTACTCTGAATCTTTTTTTTCATTTTAATTTCGAATCATTTGAATACATACATATGATTTTCAAAAAAAAAAAAGTACAAGTTTTTGTTCTAAAAATTTTTTGTAGTTTTTTGATTAAAAATTACGTGAAATAAAAGAATTTCATTGAATAAACAAAAAGCTTCATTTATTAAATTATTTCAACAAATTAAAATAAATTTCTTCCTTCATGTTTTTCTAAAATGTTTACTTCTAATCCATTTCATACCTTTTTTTTTTTTTCTGAGAATAAAAAATTATTATTTGTTATCATTTTTAATTTTATTTTAAGATTTCCTAATATTTTAGTTAGACAAAAGACAAAGTTAAATCTTTTGTTTATTTATTACTTCTAAACAAAATAGCATATGATATGCTACTCTTTTCTCAAAATATTATTTATTTACAAAAAGAAGAACAAATTTTTTTGTGTTATAAATTATTTTTATAATTCCACGAAAAAAAAAGTAAGTAAAAAGCATATATTAACAAATTTCTTCTTTTTTTTTTTTACTTCACTGATAACATTGATATCAATGATAAGCTAAAAATAAACTTAAAGGTTTTGGATCAAGTGTTGTACCGGTGTATATCAGTGAAATATCATCACCTCATTGTCGTGGTTTTCTTCTGACATCATTTCAAATGTTTATTACATTTGGATTAGCATCTGTAGTGGAAGCAAAAAAATGTTTTTGGAAACAAACCTTTATGATTTGGTTAAATTGTTATTCGGGGGAGAAGTTTGATGTCAGGGAGATGTGTTGGATGCCAGCTAAATATTTGGGCAACAATTGAATAAACTGATTCGGAGGATTGGATGATTTTAACTGATCTAATTGACAATAGTATGGTTATAAATCTACATTGATGTTAGACAATGATCCAAACAAAGGAGAGGAGGTGCTTGCATGGGCACCAGTTGCTAATAAAGAGCTTATTAGATAACCGCATGATTATGATAGCTAACAAAGAACAATGTAGATATCCTCATGATTGTAAGGATTGCTAACAAAGAACGATGTAAATTGTTTCAATATGTAGAAGCATAAATTTGGAAACAAAGAGTCCGAAGTATAAGCATTATTTGCGGAAATTACGTAGATATCTTTACTACAATTTGCAACTCATATTTTTAGATCGCGATATTAAAATCCGCGACACTCCCGACCGACGGAGCTAAATGCTTTAGTTCGTTGGACAGCTTTTGTTGATTGCTTCGCCTTATAGCGCTTCTAGTTCGTAGAGCAATTGGTTCTTGTTCATTGACATTTTGCACTGATTTGTTAAACATTGTTGGTTGAGGGTCAATTTCCTCACCTTGACTTCCAGTGGGTATAACATATTCACCGGTCTGTTGAGTATTTTTCCTTTCGGTAATTCTATCGAGACACTTCTCACTTCTCCATCCTTTCCTGTTTTGATTTCTCTTATTTGGCTAGTTTCCACATGCCACGGGGAATTTCTGGTTCATTTAGTAACACAATCTCTCCCTCGTGGGGAGTTCTTTTTACTACATCTCTCGAGAAGAGTGTTCCTTTGTGCTCTTTCTTTAAGAGTATTTAAATATTCCTCTTTCCATATTTCCCAGAAGGCATCGAGGCCTTTAGTGTATTTGACCAGTATTGAATGAGTTTTTCTCTCGAATCCAATTTATGAGGGATAAAATCATCCATTTCATTCTTGTTTTTAGCAGGCATGATTAGATGCGCATTCGGTAGTATAAAGTCAATTGGACGCAATATGATACAATCATCAAAATTTACGTAAGTTAGTGGTCGAGTATTCAAAATACTTTCCACTTCCGCTACTAGCGTAATCAATTCCCGTTCCCATAATAACTTTCTGCCGATGGCTCCTTTCATTGCCCTTTTTGTTAACCCAATAAGTCGCTCATATACTCCTCCGTTCCAAGGCGCCTTTGGTATTATATTTTTCCAGATCATTTTCCTTTCCGCTAGGAATTCATTTAATTGTTGTTTCACAATGATTTTAAAAATTAACTGGAATTGACCAGCGTTGTCGCTTAAGATTAATTCTGGAAAGCCTCGTCTTGCTGTAAATCTTCTGAAAACATGTAAAAAGCTTTCGGCTGAAAGAGTTTCTACTACTTCTAGATGTACAGCTCTTGTTGTGAAACATGTGAATAGTGCTACCCATCTTTTTGTTAGCCCATTATCACTCCTGATATTCACAGGACCTAAATAGTCTAGTCCTACTCGCGCAAAGGGTCTTGATCTTGTGGTCCGAGATGCTGGAAGATCAGCCATAGTTGGTAATTTGAATGGTTTAGTTGTCCAGCGTCTGCACTTCATGCACTTATTCAAGATTCGTTTGACTTCCGTTCTACCTTTTGGGATCCATATCGTCGATCTCAGATTTGAGAGTGTATGAGCAATTCCAGCATGATACAGTTGTTCATGTCGTTGCTGAATAAAGAGTTCAGTTATGGTGTTGTGTCTCGGGAGATATATTGGGTGTAAGTTACTCTCTTTCATTTCAGAGTTAACTACGCGGCTTTTGTATCTCCATAGTTCGTTATCATAGAACAAATTCCATTTGATTATTTCATCTTTGGTAACTCCTTCTGACTGTGCTTGTTTGAATAGCACAATTTCTGACAACTCGTAATCCTGTGTTGTCAATATATTCTTTCTTTCGTTGCCATCTTTAGCCAAGGAATTTCCTTTTCATTGTTAATCTTATGAATTTCAGAACCCAACCAGTTGTTCTTATTAATCTTGACCATTTGCTAAAACGACTAGCATCTAAGATTCCGAAATGTTTGTTTATGATAATTGGTTCTGTGATGTGGGCCACAATTTCTTCATCCTGGTAATCCTCATTGTAATTGTATTTCCACTGTGCCATTTTGATTCGTTTTCTGTTAACCACTTTGGTCCTTTCCACCAAAGATCATATCCTTTTAGTTTATTCGGAGAGATTCCTTTTGTAGCTATATCAGCTGGGTTTTGTTCACTTGGGATATATCTAAAATGGATTTTCGCCTTTCGTATTTCTTCTACCCTATTTTGTATGAACGTTGGTAGTAAACGGGAACTATTGTGAACCCAATGAAGCGCACATTGAGAATCGGACCATAAAATTGTTATCACGTCCTCAAGCTCTTTTTGTTTTAATACGAATTGTACCATTCTCACTCCGATGAGTATTGCCAGTAATTCTAATCGAGGTATTGACATTCCTTTAATTGGCGCAATTCGGGATTTAGCAAACACTAAGAATACTTCTCTTTCTTGAGTTCGAATGTATAAAGCTGCTGAGTATGCAGCAGTTGATGCGTCAGTAAAAACATGAAATTGTACTTGCTTGGAACAATTTGTTGTGAATCTTGGTAGATCCTTTAGTTTTTTGGCCATTCGTTCGTGAGTATTTCCACGTGGTTTCATCTTCCTCACTTATAGTTTGATCCCATGAAAGGTTCTTTTTCCACAAAGTTTGGAGAAACAATTTGAATCTTATCAGTATAGGAACTATGAATCCTAGTGGGTCATATTGTGAGGCTACGAATTGCAATATAATTCTTTAGTTAATTTCTTACCAAACCATGGTTTTAACGTTACTTGAATGATATCTTGTTTGTGGTACCAATTGAGACCTAGAATTTTAATTGAACTTACCTCTGCTCGATCTTGTACCGGAAGTTTTTCATTGACTCTTGGTCGTTAGAGAGAAATTCCCGTACATTCATTGATGCTTCATTGATAATTTTAATTTCCTTATAATTTGAAAGAGCTTCTTTGTTCCTTTGGTTGGTATTATAATGTTATCGACATAGAGATTTTTCCTTAACTCGAGTGCGATTTTGCTTTTACAAGTTTCCAAATGATAATTGAGTGTAGCGGACAATAAAAATGGAGATGATACAATTCCAAATGGAACTCGTTGGAAACGGTAACAACTTACGTTTTCTTCGTTAACTGGACTTCGAATGTCTTTCAACCAAAGAAATCGAGTGCAGTTTCTATCTGTTGGATGCAATTCTATTTGCAAGAACGCCTTTTCTACGTCTGCTATTATTACATTTTTCATTGTACGGAAACGTAGCAAAACTCCAACCAAATCAGGGAGTGTTATTGGTCCCCGATATAAAACATCATTTAAACTTTTCATTCCTTACAATGAGCTGATGCATCATAAACTATCCTCAGATTTGTCAGGTTTTATTTGTGTTATTACTTCGTGATGAGGCAGATAATGAATAATACCAACTTCATTCATTTCCGATGACACTTTCTCAATTATATTGAATTGAGTTGTTCTTCAATAGTTTGATTGTATCGACTTAGTAATTGAGGTTTCATTTGAAGCCTCCTAATTAACGACTTTAATCTTCCAAGGCAAAGTCCGAAATTATCGCTTAGTTTGTTCTTTGAATCTTTCCAAGGCCAACAAACTTGATATCTTCCTTGTCCCTAGTGATAGTTTGTTTAAATTGCTGCAATGCTTTTTCATCATTGTCAGAGTTTATTTTGTCTTGTATACCCATTATTTCCAGTTTCCAAAGTGATCTAAGTCTGGAATATTGACGGCATTGACTTGAGAAATCGGACTTACTGACTGT